CGGAATAAGGGAATTTCCCTTAAAGGGAAACGTTGACAGCTATGGTGATGTCACAGACATCTCATAAGTATACCTGACAATTGAATAGTCATATTACACCCACTATCAATTGAATCACTTTTTGGTAGTAGCGGGGAGAAAATTTGATTTTGCTGTCAATTACAATTTATGATTTAAGTGTTGGTAATTGTTACTTCCCCAGCAGCAGAGATGTAGCCCGAAGGAGAGAGATCTGTATCCCCATGGTCATAGGGCTGGGTGGGGCAGGAGTGGCAAAGGAATTTGTCAAGGAATTTGCCATTTGTAGAAGCCTTCAGGGGGTTTACTTGCATTCTTACTTTCTGACAAGCACAAGGGATTTTTACTTTTCATTTTAACTAGATAGGCGCTAGAATATGTAGCACAGGCTACATTTCCTTGTGTTGTAAAAGTCAAAAAACATGTTGCATTGAGGGAGGTGGTTATGCTATGACTTTTCAAATGCTTGGTAATCTTGAATTTTGTGCATACTTCTTTCATGCATGGGCAATTGGCTGACACATGTCTTGTTATGTCCTAGTTATTCTCTGAGGACAGCACAGAAGTGTGCAGGCAAGTGGGCAACACTTCCACCCTGGGGAGCCAGACTGTTCAGAATAAACTTGAGTTATGGATTTATTCAGCTTGTAAAACCTCAGCTGGCATAAATAATTGAGAAAGCAAAGGTTTGTCTGCAGTGCATACCTCAGGGACACGTGCCTGCTTCTCTCCCTCCCACCTCCCTTTCTTATGAAAATGATCCCAGTTGCACTGATAGATAATAACAACACCAAGCAATTAAAAGCTATGGGTGGCTGGAGAGAGGAGAAAAGGTTCACTTAATGAGCTTTTCCTCTTCCTGTGCCCAGGAGAGCCTCAGAAGTGACGGGGCGATTAAACGAAGAGATAATTATAGATTATGTGAAGATGGGTCCCTTGGGGGTAAGAAGGCCTTGACATAAACAGTAACTGTTGCAACTGTGCCTTGGCTCCCATCTCTCTCTCTCTCTCTCTCTCTCTCTCTCTCTCTCTCTCTCTCTCTGCTTCATTGAGCTTCAGTACACTCAGTGGCACGGTGCCAAGCAGAAAGGCAAGGCCACCTGTTTGTGGCACATGGGCCTTGCTGGGCAAGGTGGGATCCTTCAACCAAATCTCCTTCTACCACAACAATTAGACAGGTCCAGAAAAACAGAGAGGGTACAGTGATGGAGCATAACAACCATCTCAGCTGTCTGTTTAGCTTCAAAGATGACCCAACACAAAGGTAGGCAGACAGGGAAGATTCTGTGCAATGTTTCCAATGATGCAGAATAATCCCAGAGCCTTTTCTTTTAAAAGAGTAGAAATTTGAAAGACTCACTGGATAATATGAGCTGCTTGTGGGGCAAGATAAAAAAAAAATGGGAAGACATTTCAGGGCTTCGTCCAGATAAACTGAGCACAATCATCTTTTCTCCTTCACAAAGAAGTTCAAACTGCATAGACTATTTTAAAAAGCTTAAATAACTTTTCTAAATAAACTGAGTTTCAATTGTTTAGTGAATTATCATCAAAGAAACAAGAGACGGCCAGGAGTGCTGCATTCCTCTTTTCACTAATGATCCATCTGCTTCTGCCAGTTTTTTTAGTGCTAGTACCATTCAGTGTTTATTAAGTTCCAATTATATGTGTGCAGATTGGAGAACTGGGCCCATAACAAAATTAATTTCATTAGGAACAAATGTAAGGTTTTGCACTTAGGCAGAAAGAACCAGCTGCACAAATATAAGATGGGGGACACCTGGCTTACTAGTAGTACATGTGTAAAGGATCTAAGTGGACCACAAGCTTAACATAAGTCAGTAGTGTGATGCAGCAGCAAAAAAAGTTAATGCTATTCTAGGCTGCATCAATAGACGCATAGTGTTCAGATCAAGGGAAGCAATAAAAGGTAAAGGTACCCCTGCCTGTACGGGCCAGTCTTGACAGACTCTAGGGTTGTGCGCCCATCTCACTTAAGAGGCCAGGGGCCAGCGCTGTCCGGAGACACTTCCGGGTCACGTGGCCAGCGTGACAAAGCTGCATCTGGCGAGCCAGCGCAGCACATGGAAACGCCGTTTACCTTCCCGCCAGTAAGCGGTCCCTATTTATCTACTTGCACCCGGGGGTGCTTTCGAACTGCTAGGTTGGCAGGCGCTGGGACCGAGCAACGGGAACGCACCCTGCCGTGGGAATTCGAACCGCCGACCTTTCAATCGGCAAGCCCTAGGCGCTGAGGCTTTTACCCACAGCGCCACCCGCGTCCCTAGGGAAGCAATAGTAGCACTCTATTCTTCCTTGGTCAGAGCACACCTGGAATAGCGCCACAATTTAAGAAGGATATTGACAAGCTGGAATGTGTGCAGAGGAGGGCAACCAAGATTTGATCATAAACCAACTTTATGAGGAGCTGTTGAAGGAGCTGGGTATGTTTAGCCTGGAAAAGAGGAGACTGAGAGGAGATCTGATAGCCATCTTGAAATATTTTAAGGGCTGTCACATGGAAGATGGAGCAATCTTGTTTTCTCCTGCTCTGGAGGGTAGGACCAATGGCTTCAAGTTACAGGATAGCAGATTCCGACTAAACATGAGGAAGAACTTTCTGACAGTAGGAGCTGTTCAGCAGTGCAATGGACTCCTTCAGGAGCCCTTTCTATCTCTCTTTTTTTAGCAAGAAAGCCTTCAGATATATGATTTCCCCACTTACAACCTGCAGTACTATATAGCACCCAATGTAGGTAAAAGGAAAGTGCATATGCTTAGGAGAAAGATTCTTTAGAGACCACATCCACAGTGAGGAGTAGGTCAGAGGAAGTCTGTTCTGGCATTTTTTCTGCAGCAGGAGCCCAGTATCAGCACTTTCGTTTTAAAAGTGCTACACTAGCAGAAGGGAAGGAGAAGAAATTCCTGAGTTCTGAAGAATGAATCATAATTCACAAAGCACATAAAGCTAAAGGAGTTAAGAAACAGCATAAGTGATGTGCCATTTGTTCTGGGGTTTTTCCTCACCTGTTTCAGCACATACGTGGTTTCTTGGAGGGATTGTTGCTTGCAAGATATAAAAGCCATCAATTATTGTATTGTTTTGTGTTTGAACTACAAAAGTGGTTATATCTTATTTGACCTCTTGATTAGTTTGTTATTGTCAGTATCCTGCATGCATGTAAGCTATACTTCAATTTGTGAATTGTGAGATTAGTTCCATTATAACCTGGAACCTTTTTTTGCAGCACGATGAATTTGAAGTTGGCAGTGCTCCCATTGTAGCAAGCTTATCGTTTGCTCGTAGTTTCTGCTTATGTTACTGTGGACAAACAAGCTAAATACCATCAAATTGCACCAGAGTATTTGAAAATGAGGCAATAAAATGGGGGTGGGGAGTGAAAACATGTTAATTGTAGCATTGCTCCTATCCTTTGAAAACTAACACTGATGGTTATGGGTGTTTTGTGGCTATCTTTCTGGTAGAACTGAATTTCTTTCCCCTTTGTAAGTCACTCAGGAAAGGTTCAGTTCTAAGTGAGGTATAATTTTTTTTAGTTTAATGTGTTTTCTAAAGTGTGTGTTATTCTGAACCAGACTAGACTGTTTTCAAACATGTTTCATTGTGTAAACATGAAGGGTAGATATACATCCTGGCGTGCTTTTAAGTCAGTGTCTTGGTTCCGTGTTTTGAGTTACTTTTGTGTTTCACAACTTGGAGAAATTCAGATTAAGAGTGCTAAAGTGTATCCACAAGATAAACCTGATCATACAGCAATGAAAGACTTTGACAGGGCACACTCAGCATTTCCAGTTTGAATTGTACCTCTATCATTGTATTTCATTCATTCATATATTCCACTTGTTTATGGTCACCTTATTTTAAAAAGGCAAGGTAGCTTAGGTTAATTAGAGACTACCTGGCTTATTGAGGCACACCAGAAAAGGGATGTGTGCATAGCAAAAGCCTTATTCATATCTCAGTTTAATAAGCCAAGGTATAATTGTCTGAATGTGGCCATAGGTTTCACAACAATGTTGGTTCAGTTTCATTGCCAGATTGGTTTATGCGAACAGTAGTTTAGAAACCAAACCAACATTTGAGCTTACAAATGCACAACAAGCAAACTGTGGTTTAGACAAAGATTTGTCTGCATTTGTTTTCTACCCTCTCAGCACTTGGCTTCGGAAACACTTTAACCACCCTAGTGCAACAGCTTGTGGAGTTGGAGAGAGCCTATTGTACCTGCCAAACTTTGGTTTCTGATTCTAGTTCATTTGCTAATTGCAGACGATGGTTTGTTAGTTGAGACGCAACACCAAACCACATTTTATCTTTCCAAACCCTTCTGCCTTCCTTTCAAGCATCCTTTTGAGAAAATCTGGTTTGCTCCTCATCACTGGATGGTGATACTGAGATTACATCCATTGGAGTTTTTGTTGGTGACCTTTTCCAACTAGCCCACTTTATATAAGTTACCTGTATCAGACTTGTAACTTGGGGGGGGGGCGTCTTCAGAAATAGGGAGAACAGACCCTGGTGTGTAAATAATAATGGATGGCAGAAGGAATATTCCATATTTATTTTGCTAAGAAATACTGTCAGCCCCAGTGCACTAATATATATTAAAGTCTGTACATGTCAAATGGGTCTTTATAGAGATATATTAAGGGACAACTTTAGATACTAATTTATTATGAATCCGTGCACATTTTTCCTCAAGGCTGAAATTGGTTTGTGTTGGTTTCCTTCATTCCTTGCGGGAGGTTAGCTTTCAGTATATTGTTTTAGTTATGTGTGATGCAGAGTGTATCCCAACCTGAATTATGCTGTTTGCATTCAAAGCACTGGAAATCTGCAGTACTCAGTAATGCTGAAATGATTGAATTGGTGGAAAAGCCGGGCATCTTATGTTTGTGTAGTTCCTGTGCGTTGCTCAGTAACAGTACGCATTTGCTCACTCTCCCTTATGTCTTCTTAGGGAAGAAGATAAGAACATATTTGACTACTGCAGAGAAAACAACATTGACCATGTAACCAAAGCCATCCGATCAAAAAAAGTGGATGTGAATACGAAAGATGAGAAGGTATTGGGCCAGGGGAGGGATTAATCTGTCTTAAAGGCTGGTATGTCAAATTAATGTCTCCTCGTTTCTCTAATCCTTCCTTGCAGCTGCTATATCTCTGCTGCAGTGTGTCTGACCAGACATCTGTTAGTGGAAGAATTGTCCAACTCTGCCACTCCTAAGCAACAATTACCTGACACATGGTTGGACTTTGACTTTTGAATGCGATAACAGTTACAGCAGGTCAGAGATAGGCTGGTGTTTAAAGCAAAAACACAAAACAAAAACACAAAACCCCAAATGGCACCCCTCTTCCTCTTAATTAACATGGGGCACATGCCCTGGGGAAATTCTCTAGTGCAATCCTAATTGAAATGAATAGTTAATTTTAATGTGGCTGGCACAGGAAAGAAATTTGGTGGATTGTCCCTATGGATTTGATCTGTCTGCTTCCCACTCCACCTCTTAATGGCACCCAAAAACTTTCCAAAGAGGCCACATGCCTTATAGATGAGCCCTCTCTGGACTGATGGCAAAGATAGTCGGAGCTTAATTGAATAATCGTACTCTGGTTCAAGAAATACCTAATAAAGCAGTGGTGTAAATAGGAGTACCCTGTAATGTTTTTCATTGGCAATAGCTCCACATATGGAACACTCACTCTTATTAACTAAACTGTATTTGGACACCCTTCTGTATCTGTGCAGCAGATATTCACATCACTTGACCATCGGCTATTTGTGAACATGATTTTGCTGGTGTGGCTAAAATCAGTCTGGATTATGTGGGATGTACTTCATACAAATGACTTGCTTTATGGAGGGGTACCCATATTGTTCTTGACTTCAACATCAATTGTGTTGCCATTGTGACATATGAAATGGGCCTTAGAAATGATGGAGCAGCAGCTAATTCATTGCCAGTGAAGTGTCTTTATACCTTTGCCAAAAGAGGGGCAGCTCTTTTACTTGTCATCTAAAGGAGTTTTAGGGTAAAATATATGTCAGCGATGTTCCCTGAAAACTTATTTTTACAATAAAGTACTATATTATGGTCTGGCATGCTGAAGTGCTTCAGGCTTCTGTGAGCCATGCCTTTGAATGTGTACTCACCCACCCACCCACCCTCTACCCAATGTAACTTTGTCAGAAGGAACAAGCAGATTATGTTTCTAGCATTTTTTGTAGTGCCAGAAATTCTCCTGCTTGCCATGCCTTCACAATGAGAAGTAAAAATTTAACAGTGCAATTTATGCATACTGGGATTTTCCCTCTGCTTTCTCTATACTGAGGTTCAGCTTCATATAGGGAAATAAATTTTGTTTAGTGAGTTAGGTCCAGGCTTTACCTTCCATACACAGAAGGCTTTTCATCCAGTGGAGGGATCCTACTGGTGGAAGTGGAGAAGGTGACCATTGCCAATTTCCCCCTTCCTCTACAGCACCTAATGCCACTTCCCACACTGTTCTTTAGGGTCCCTCAACCTTCTGAAATATACTTCCCATTGTTGGAAGCAAAGTCTGGATCCAAGCCGAAGATAAAACCAGATAGGATGGCTTTAAGTTATCTCTTGCTCTGCACTGGTTGGAGAAGGGGAGGTATGGTATCTTGGTCTGCACTAATAACTCAGTAGCAGTGTTAAGAGAATTATCGTTATTACTGGAGCTAGACCTCAGTGTCCATGATGGCCATGGAGTGATGGGCATGGAGAAGCTCCTTCACGTATACTGGGCCGAGGCCATTTAAGGCTTTAAAGCTCAGCACCAACACTCGCAAAGCTCCTTTTTAAAGGCTTGAGAGTTTCCCAGATAGTAAATATCTGGCGCGTAAATGGTCAGACAAACTAAAACCTGTTTGACTTGCTGGTTACTATCTTTGCCCACTGACTATTTGTCCTGCTTTTGGCCTGTAACATGTAGTCTCTCAGCATATTGTGTTGCAGTGAACAGATGAAGTGCTTACGCATTCATAGACTGAGACGCCACAAATTCAGTTGGGTTCTCTTGTAGCTCTAAGCAGATTTCTGCCCTTTGAGCCATGACATTCCCGGCTGGGGTTCTGAATGCTGATGGCATGGCTTTTTATTATTAATCAGGAACTCATATGAATTAATTTGATGAAAGCAGGGGAGGGAGTTTAAAATTCAAGGCTAGAAACTCATCCTCGATGAAGTGAACTGAAACATCTGTGTGTTTCCACAGTACATTGTTCAGCTCTATCAGTATTGCCAGAGGTCACAGGTTGTTTAGCCATATAGGATAAATTTGTGTAAATTGCAAGCCCAGGAATGGTTTGTGATTATTTTCTGGTGATCAGTAGTAATAAACCAGAACTGAACTTTCTGATATCTATAGCAATAAACTAGTAATCCAAGCCACTTTTAGGCTACTGTTAGAGTCATATGACTTTCTGGAATATCTGCTTCTAGAAAGATAGGGTATTCTTCAGTTAATGAATTCATTATATGCCCCATTCTTATCAAAGATGAAAACAACAGGTTCTTTCACACTTTTATTATCAAACCGTCAGCATCATTGCGACTTGGCCGTAGAAAAGTTTTATGTACAGTGGTACCTCGGGTTACATATTCGGGTTACATCCGCTTCAGGTTACAGACTCTGCTAACCCAGAAATAGTACCTCGGGTTAAGAACTTTGCTGGCGGCAGCGGGAGGCCCCATTAGCTAAAGTGGTGCTTCAGGTTAAGAACAGTTTCAGGTTAAGAACAGACCTCCGGAACGAATTAAGTACTTAACCCGAGGTACCACTGTACATAAAACTTTTAGAGGGACACGGGTGGCGCTGTGGGTAAAACTTCAGCGCCTAGGACTTGCCGATTGCATGGTCAGCGGTTCGAATCCCCGTGGCGGGGTGCACTCCCGTCATTCGGTCCCAGCGCCTGCCAACCTAGCAGTTCGAAAGCACCCCCGGGTGCAAGTAGATAAATAGGGACCGCTTACCAGCAGGAAGGTAAACGACGTTCCGTGTGCTGCGCTGGCTCGCCAGATGCAGCTTGTCACGCTGGCCACGTGACCCGGAAGTGTCTGCGGACAGCGCTGGCTCCCGGCCTCTAGAGTGAGATGAGAGCACAACCCTAGAGTCTGGCAAGACTGGCCCGTACGGGCAGGGGTACCTTTACCTTTACCTTTTACCACTGTATAGCTATGAAATGCACTTTTAGTAGTACAGTGGTACCTTGGGTTAAGTACTCCTTTTCAAACCCAGGCAGCCTTTGAGAAGGTGGTGGGGAAGGTGCTCAAATCGCCTCAAGAGCATCCAACCTCCCAAAGGCTTTGGGAAGGGGGTGCCAGGGCCCTTGGGCACAAGCTGATAGAAATAAGCACTGTTAATGCCAAAATAGCTCTTAAGCAGGGCTGGGAGGAATTCATACCGATGTGGGGGGATTTCATCCTGTTCAAAAAGGGTGCCAGTCAGCTCTTGAGGATTATATCCTCTCTGCAGTCATGGGGAAAGGTTTTGAAATTGCAGGTGTCCCACCCTCCCAGTCCCAAATTAGGCGAAATCGCCTTCCTTTTGAAGGAAATGTGCCCCATGCCCCACCCAAGCTGCAAATAGAGGCTGCTGTATGACAGCATACACACAACAACTTTGGGCAATCTCCCCCAAAGAAAGCTCAACAACTCTTGCAGGTGTGTGCCCGCCCCTGGTGCCGGTTGGGCATGCTCTGCCGCTGTGAGCCATCACATTCACACACACACACACACACACACACACACACACGCTCTCTCTTGAAGCCCCAGGTAGAATCAGCTGCCTTCGCCCGCTCCTCTCGGTGCATCCCTCAGATTTGAAGGTGGCAGGTCAGGTGTTTGCTTTGTGGTTCTCTTCACCACACCACCCCTTCCTCTTTTGTGCCAGGAAAGGCCTCTTATTTAAATTTTTTTGCTTGTGGGGTAAAGCTGTTCAGAGCAGGAAATAAAATGGAGCCTCTCTGATCTTGCAATGGACACTGACTAGCTGAGAGGAAGCCATGAAGAAATTTGCTAGTAAAAACTCATTGTAAAGAGTGCACTTTTTGCCATGCGCATTACATTCACCAGCAAACACTTTTTTTGGTTTCAAGGTTCTGAAAATTGAGGTGCTCATTAGATTCAATTGTGCACTAGACTCGAGTAAATACAGTAATTTTATTTAAGCAACAACTACAAATATGCCCAGTGTTGGAGGTGAAACTGGTATAACTTTGACACCTGAGATGTATATTTTTAGGTCACACCTTTTTGTGATTGTAAGGTGTTTTAAACTGTTTTCAGTATTGTATTTTAAATTGTAACCGAGTCAGTTGGGCAGGGTACAAATAATAAAATGATTATTGTAAACTGCCGTACAGCATAAGTTGGGGCGGGTAATAAATTAATATAACAAAAACAATCATACAATTTTTTCCAGTCCAAAAAATGATACAAATGAAACTATAAACATTATAGTAAATTAAAATATTTGTTGTATGTAAGCTTTGAAACAGTTTGTAGATCTCAGTATTTTCATGCAGATAAAAAATATATACTGGTAGTTTTCCGGAAAAAAAGTTCAGAAAATACCATCCCTATTGAGCAGCAGTAACTTTGACTATTTTTTGTTAAACTTAATAATGTTTAATTCATGTTCAGTATTGAATTTACGAACAGTCATCAATTTCCCTTTACCTTGATGCAGAAGATGTAAGGTAACTTAGATCCAGAAGCAAGTGGAGTTCGGAGTTGGTGCTGTAGTTAAAAACAAAAACAGTTTCCCATCATGTCATTGGCATAATATGCTTGGTATGCTACCATACTGCAAGCCTGTTTCATGTTTTATATTTTTGAAAGTACTTTTCTGACATCAAGTCCCAAGAATGTTGCTTATTTAGTAATCCAGTCAGATGCAGTAGCAATGCTATCAGCATCACTACCTTTGAATCTTGCCTCCCAAGTTATTTGCAGCAGTGTGGATTGCCTGTAACAATATTTTAATACACTGCTTTAAAAAGCATTTCACTCACTGTGCTGAAAGAAAATATTTA